CCACCATGCCCAGGCCTGCAGTCCTCCTGCCTCCGCCTCCCGGGTGCTGGCCCTCCAGCCGTGCGCCACCATGCCCAGCCCTAGCTAGTAGTATTCTAAGGCAATTATGTTTCCTTCAGACCGAGGAGCAAGGATGGTACCCTCCTAACGATGCTGATTTGGGGTATGGATCTTTTTAAAGAATAATTTGTCAGTGTTTATCAGCTGCCTAAAAATAGGCCTTTCTTCTCACCTAACAACCCCAATATTAGGGCCCTATTCTCAGGGTACATCCAAGGGTGCTTGCAGCAAGTTTACTATGAAGGTGCTTATTATAGCATTACTTACATCTTTGACAAATTGAGAAGAGCCAAGTATCTAGTAAAGACTGAGTACTCTTAGTACTAATAATACAGTGTGGGGCATGACTGAAGGTGGTAGTGAGCACGCTGTTAGCACACGGTGGGTCCACACAGAGCCCCGGGGGCCGCTTGCTTCTTTCAAGTATTTTTAGTTCACACATAATGGTTGTCCACCCCTGGGAACAGGCACAGGTACAGGTCTTAATCCTTTTTATTCCCCTACAACCATTTTCTTAAAACTATACCCAGTGTAAGCTTGGGATCATGAGGATTTTTTAATACTCTTCATTCCGCTTCTCCACGTTCCATGAATTTCAAAATGCCAAATGTGATGTCTGAGAAGTGTCATCGCCTAAGGAGGGAAGGTGGCCACGGGCCCTCTGGATGGCATCTCAGCCTCTAGCACGCTGGTCCAGCCACCAGCTCATCGCACTTCACTGTTTGGCCCAAGAAAACGTGGGGTGTCCCCGTCAGCTTGCAGGAGGACAGGCAGGTGTCGTGTCTGGCCAGTGGTGTAGAGAGCCGCATCCCCAGGTCAGCAAGCAGCTTCCTCCCAGCCTTCTGCGGGGCTTCCAGGTGGTGGCCCTTACCGTGGACCTTGTCCCGCTCTACAGGGCTGCTGGAGCGACGTGGCCGGAAGGCGCCGCTCCCTGCTGCTGTGCCTCCTGCTCAGCGCACTGGGCTACCTCCTCCTGGGAGCCTCCAGCAGCGTGCTCCTGTTCGCCCTGGCGCGAGTCCCAGTGGGTGAGTCCCTCCCGGGCCCTGCTCCCTGCCCCTGCCCTGAGTGCAGCCCTGGAGTTGCTGGTCCCTGGGAGCTGTCCCAGAGAATGTGGCCTCGCACGGTAACAGCCAGAGTGCATCCCCAGCAGCAGCGATGGCTGAATGCTCAGCCTCAGCCCTGCCTCTGCTGCTTCAGACCTCATCCTCAACAGGGCACATGTCCCCAAGTCCCCAAGACCCCTGCAGTGCTGTGCCCGCCCCTGACACACCTCCTTCCAGCCCAGCTCTGTGTACAGAGTAGGAATCCTTGCTGCCTGTGGCCTGCACCATGGGCTCCGTTCCCTCTTTGGGTGAGGCGAGCTTCCTGCTTTGTACCCAGACTGCTGACCTCACCTGAAACTTGCCTGGGTGGCTTTCTGCTCCCAGACTGCTCTTGGCTGCTGCTCCCTTCTGAATCATTTCATCCATTCGTGAATGCGGCTGGCGTCCAGTGGGTGGGCGTCTCATGATGGTGGAAGTGCTTCCTGCCTTCCCCGCAGTCAGGCCTGGTTTCCAGGACCCTTTCCTCTCCTTACCCATTGGTGTCCAGCAGCCTCCCCGACCCTGGTTCAGGACTGCAGCACTGCGTGTCTGCTGGAATTCGGTTAGCTGCTTGGCCTCGCTTGGCACCCCAGCGGAAGAGAGTGTATCTCACATGGCCCCACCACCTCTGTGATGTGTATGTGTCCCAGAGTATCAGCTGGGCTCTCCCTCCAAAACGCGCCCTGTGTCTTTCTGCTTTAACACTGTGGCTTCCGTGGGGCCTGCGGTCCACCTTGCCTTCCCCAGGCAGTAGCTGCTCCTTGTCATCTATGCCGGGCTTGACCCCTGCCTGCCGTTTGGCTGGCAGTGTCTGTGTGTCACACACATGGCCATTCCTGGTGGACACCATTCACCCTTCCAGAGACAGGAGAACAGCTAGTGACGTGGTGGGCAGAGGCCTGGAGGCAGGCCTGGAGTGGTTTAGGCTCTCGGGAAGGGAGCCAGTTCTAGTAATGTTGGCTTTGTTGTTGCAGTGTCGTGGTCCTGGCAAATGGGGAGAGCTGCCCCAAGCAGCCTTTCTCTCCCTTCTCACGGTGCAGCCCCCTCACTGCTGGGTGGCCACGGATGGAGGGAGCTAGGGTGTCGTCGGGCTTCTCATGCCGAGTCAGCCTGGATTCAGATCCATGGGTCCTGACCGCACGTGTGCCTGCGCTCCTTAGATAATGAGACTCCTCGTCTCTGTGGTCGCAGAGTGCCCACCACACGGTCCTCCCAGGCTTGGACGAGTCCATGCCAGGAGGATATCAGAATGCTCACAGAATTCCTGCACGATCTCCTAGCGCTACCTTATATCCCCGCCTTTGGTGCCTATGAGGAAACACGTCTAGAAAGGGACAGTCTCACACCGACAGGGTTTTGTCAGTTTGCTTCTGAAAGGGCTGGCTGCCAGCTGCACAGGTGTCATTTTAAATCCTGGGCTTCATGGGCCTCAGCCCAGGCCAAGGTGTTAGTCTCGGCAGCACGGTGCTGTGCAAAGCGAGTCCACGGACCGGGGACCTGTGGGGGTCTCTGTGTCACGGTGCAGTTCAGAGTGATCCAGGCCACTCACTTGGGTGCACAGGAGCTGTACACACCTGCACAACTAAGAGGAAGGCAGCATCATGTTGCAGCTCTCCGGCAGGTGCGTCAGCAGGGCCGTCAGCTCCTTGCTGCAGAGTAGAGGGCAGCTGGTGTTGGCATTGGCGTTGGCTGGGTGAAGACACTTCATTCTTCCTGCTCGCATCCTGTCATCCCGCGCTGTTCCTCTCCAGAGCTCGTGTCACCTTCATGGAGACGCACTGTGTTTCCCTTAGGAAAATCCAGCCTCTGGGAGGGCAGGAAGAGCTGCTGTTGTTGCAGTCAGTGCTGGACACAGTAGGCCTGCAGGCATGTTTGCTCAGGAGACGGAAGTCACCACAGTGGTTGTCAGATGCCAGGTATCATGACAGGAGGCAGGCATGCGAGGGCCATGCATGTGGTCACCTACCACCACTGTGGCATTAGTCCCAGAGTCCAGTTCTGGTGGGCTGGGGCCTGCAGGTTTGCGATTTCACCGGCGGAGGTCAGAGCTCCAGCCTGGACAGAGACGAGGCACAGCGTCCCGGGGACATCCTTCTGACTGGAACATGTTTCTGTCCCCTTGCAGGTATTTTCAAGCACACCTTGTCCATCTGCAGAGCGCTGCTGTCTGACCTAGTGGTAGAGAAGGAGCGGCCTGTGGTGCTGGGCCGGTTTAACACAGCCTCGAGCGCGGGTTTCATCCTGGGCCCTGTGCTGGGCGGGTACCTGGCAGAGCTGGAGGGCGGCTTCCGCCTCACCGCGCTCATCTGCTGCTCCATCTTCCTGCTCAATGCCGGTGAGTGGCATGGAGCCGCCGGAGGTCATTCTGTGGACAGGACTATGATCTGCCCATGCCTATCTCCTGGGCTGGCTGATTTAGAATAGGCAGTCACTGATCAGAAGTGAAGGTCACTTTGAGGACGCCCTGTGCTCTTCCCACGTCCCTGTACCTGGCCTCCCACGCTTTTACAACCTTGCTGTCATTTAGCTTTTTTGTTTTTTAATAACTAACGGGGATGAGGTAGCATTTATTGCAGATCTGAGTTGCCACCTTACACACTGAACATCTTTTCGAACGCCGGGCGGCCATCCTTTGGAGACATGTCTGTTTGAGCCTTTAGCTCACTCTTTGGTCATGTTTAATGTGGAAGCCCCGTAGATCTTGGATGCTGACTTCTTCACCAGATGTGGATCAGACTTGCAAATCACGAGCCCGCCCACGAGCACTCCTGCAAATTGCTTCCCATGCAGGGCAGAAGCGGTTTAGTATGGTGTCGCCCTCTTGTCTACTTTTGCTCTTGCTGCCTGTGCATTGGGGCGCAAAGCCAAGAAACCACTGACAAAGCCAATTCTGAGAGGCTCCTTCCTACTTTTTTCTTCTGGGAGGTTTATTTTTATTTTATTTTTTTTATTTAGGATAAGGTGTTATAGGGTCTCACTATGTAGATCGGACTTGTAGTGGTCCTCCTGTTTACCAACTCCCAAGTGCTGGGATTACAGGTCTGCGCCACCACGCCAAGTCTCAGTCTCCATGTCAGCGCACCCCAGGACCAGGGCTGGCTTGGCAGGCCCAAGGATAGAACTCCCAGCCCTTGCATCTGCCTAAGCAGGTGCTTTAATCCACTGAGCTATTTGGCCAGCCCTTTGATGGGAGTTTTTATAGTTTCAGTTCTTAAGTGTTTCTGTTTTTAAATTCGTTTTGCATTTATTTTTGCGTATAAGATAGGGTCCATTTTCATTCTTTTATAATTTCTTAACCTTTTATTTATTTATCTACATATTTGGTACAGGGTCTCACTATACAGACTCATAGTGATCCTCCTGTCTCAGCCTCTCCAGCGCTGGGATTATAGGCGTGCACCATCACACCTAGTTTCATTCTTTTACGTGATAACATATTCTTTTATTAGTTTTCATGTGAATGAAAATCAGCTTTATTTTATGAGCATGTTACAATTTTAGATCAAGTTATGGAAGACAAATAGTACCTTCCCTAGCGCTGCGCAGGCTCCTAAGGCCTGCCAGGGGGAGCACCCTTGCCCTACATAGCCTGCGCCATCCTGGGAAGCCCCCCGCTTGCTGCCCGTGCCCATGCATCAGCTGGGCACACTGGCTTCCCGGTGACCTCCTACATGCTTCCCACCCAAGGTGTCGTCCTGACTCCTTCCATTGCCACATTCTTTCCACTTGTCTTTCCAGGCTTTCTCTTCTTATCATCCCTTAGGCCTTTCCTGGTCAGTCTGCTAACTTCACTCAATTTTATTCATGTTCTGTTTGTTGCCTTGTCACATGTACACACACACACTCTCACACTGCAGGCCAGGATTTTATTAGAGCTACTCATTTCTTCCACCCCTGCCCAGAGCAGGCCAGTTATTCAATCAGATTTGATAAACCGAAGAGTCCTTCCTGGGCTGCGGGCTCCCTGGAGGCCAGGGCAGGTGCCTAACGCATCTTTCATCTTCACGCAGACTGGGGCGTGGGCAGCCCCTGAATGAGCGGCTTCATCCCAGAGCAGCCATGCTGTCCACTGCCCTGCTGTGGCAGATCTCCTGCCACAGCTTTAGAAGCCCCGTTCAAGGAGTGCTGTTGGGCCGTGGATTCCACGTCACATCAGGAATCTCAGATTTGAAAAGTGAAGTTCATGAATTTCATCCCAGTTCCTGTAGGATTCGTAATTTTCTGCAGGATCATAACCTGCAGCTGAAGCCAGGAGAACAGGCCTGATGGGTTGGCATAAACCTAGATAAATGTCATGAAGCACACGGTCAGCTGGCGCAGCTGAACCTTCTGTGTAAAGGAGGATACCTGAAGGGAAATCATTCTGAGTGCACAGTCGGCCTGTGAATCCGCGAGGGTGGGTGTAGCACAGAGAACTTGCGTACAGAGGACTACGGGTGGGCGGGCGCAGGGGCTGCCGGCGGAGTCGGGATGGAGCAGTACAGGGGCCCTCCGTGCACTGCAGGCCTCCAGGAGGGCGCAGGTCTGCACTGGGAGGCTGGAGACCCCAGCCTAAGGGAAGGCCGGGTGAGGACCACAGCTCCGGCTCCTCCCCTTCCTCCGCCCAGGCTGCCCTCTTCTGATCGGCGCCGCCAACGCCACCAGGGCTCTTTGCTCTTCTGGAAGTTGGTCGCCCGCACCCTGAACTCTGCTGCACTGGTGGCCAGCCACCAGGGAGCTGCTGCTCGGCATGCCCGGGAGAGTGCCGCCTGTGTTCTGCCCTAGCTTAAAGCAAAGCGGGTTTAGCGTCCTCGGCCGCAGGTGTTTCCACCTCACGTGAAGTTGCAGGGATTGCTTTTGCCCACTTAACAGAGTGGGGTTTGGTGGGCCAGCTGCACTGGTCATGGTACTTACTTTAATTCCATTCTTTTTGTCTGTCAGTGACAGTTCTTTTACAATTTTATTAACATTCTGTCCAGGGTCCCTTTAAAGATATAAATCAAAGAGTCCTGGCCCACTCTCGCCTGCTTGGTCCTCTGTCTTGACCGAAGCCCTTATTCTGTATTTATTCGTAGAAGCCACAGCCACAGATGAGGTTGTGCAGACAATGCAAAATGGCCTTGAGTTCAGCCACTGGACCGTGTTGAACATTTAAATCTCAAAGGCCAGTAGGGAGGTGTTGGGGGTGTCACACAATGGAACAGTGGAGTACAGAAGTAAGAAAGTTACACCGTGTGCGCTGCCAAGAGGTCCTTCTGCTTAATGGCAGTGGGTAAATAAAACAGCAGGGGCAGCAGCGTGCCAGCGTGAAGGCAGGGGAAGATGGGACGTGGTGGGCAGGGCAGCTGCCCCAAGGCTGCATCGTTCTCTATAACGATGGTGTGCCGAGGTTTTGCATGTGTGGCTTGTGGAACATGCTGTGGCCCTGCTGGGGGAGGGCCCCGCAGAGGCTTCCCGAGAGTTACGGCTGTCACACCATCCTCTTCCCCACCAAGCCCAGGTCTGTTGTCACCATCCACAGCGCCTGTGTCCCCAGCCTGGCCTCCCCTTGGCACCTGTCTCCTGCTTCCTTGCCTGAGCCTCTACGTTAATTCCTCAAGGCAGCAATGCTGGCAGCCCTTGCTATTCCTGTCAGTGGATTCCTGGTGTTGAACACCAGGCTTAGCATGCAGGAAGTGCCCCGTAAACATTGAAGTTGGGTGTGGATGGATGGATGGATGGATGGACAGGTGGATGGGTAGACAGACACTTGGTGGGTTAGCGGTAGGGGTAGGAAATTATGAAGAAGTCAGTATACGTTCAAATTTGTAAGATCTTACATATGAAGTGATGGCTCTCGGAAACCAGCACAGGCTGTGAGCTGGGAACCAGCTGACCTCTGTATATTGCTTTGGTGCTTTTGTTTTGTTTTCTTTAAAACTGAGAAAGACCTGCTGGAACCCTGTCATCACAGTGGGACTGTGGGAATGGAGGGAAGACTGGAATCCGAAATGCAGACTAGTTAACCTAGTACAAAGCGGGTCAGGCCCTCGAGCCGACAACAGCGCCCTCCCCAGGAGGCCCAGGAAGAGCGCGCAAGCCCACCTGGACAGGTCTCTGCCAGCTTTCGCCTTTTCTTTTGTAAAACTCTTGAGAGTCCATGTGTGCCGTGCAGGGATGGCATTCATTGTGAGGCTTCCGTGCTTGTACAGGACACAGCCGGATCCTCACCCCCACCACCACCCTTCCTCCATCCCTTGGTCCCTTTCTGTTCGCAGAGCATCGCTTTCCCATTTCTTGTCTCCTGTCTTTCATTTTGCCCTGTGATGTATTTCTTCTACTTTGGGTTTCTCACAAAGGTAGTCCTTTTAACAGGTCTTGTTTGGCTCTTTCCTTGGAGTGGCATGGAAGTCAGCGGGACAGAGAATGGCCCGAGACAGCGTGGGCGCCAGGCACCATCCAGGACAGACCATGAGCCTCAGGGGGCAGCCACCAGCCCCGCGGCCACAGAGACCGCTCCTCCAGGGCTCTGGGCTGACACCAGGGCAGCCATGCAAGACGGGCGGAGCCTGGTGTGCTCTGAGATGGGCGACATCCTGCTGGTGCGCCTGCTGATGGGGATGGCAGTGCTGCTGTACCACAGCAACTTCGTGCTGGCGCTGGAGCAGCGCTTTGGGGTGCGGCCGCGGGCCTCGGGCTACCTCATCGGGTACAGCAGTGCTCTGGGCGCCCTGGCTGGCCTCACCCTGGGACCTGTCCTGCGCCTCTACCAGCACGACTTGCACGCAGCCCTGCTGCACTCCAGCGTGCTCACCTGCGCACTGCTGCTGCTCTATGCCTCGGCAGGCACTGTGGCCGTGGTGGTCCTCACCTCCACATTCCTGTCCTTTTCCACCACCATTGGCCGGACCTGTGTCACAGACCTACAGCTGACCATGGGTGGCGCCCAGGCCAGCGGCACTGTCATCGGCGTGGGACAGTCAGTGACTGCTGTGGGCCGCATCATTGCCCCCCTCCTCTCAGGAGTGGCCCAGGAGGTCAGCCCCTGTGGTCCCCCGGGCCTGGGAGCTGCTTTGGCCCTCGTGGCTGTCTTTATAATGTCATTCAGCAAACCCCACTGCAGTAATGCTGGGAGTGGTAAGCTAAAAAGTGCTTAAGACAAATTTGGACAACGTGGAGAAATGATCACAGTGTTCAGTCCACTCTAGTGGCCGCCATGGGAAAGGAAGCGTGAGGGCTCAGGGCTGTGAGGCATCCGCAGACAGGCTCAGGGACGCGCACAGTGTAGATGGACAATCGGATGTCCCGGGGCCACGAAGAAGCTAAGGCTGGAGCGGACCTTGGCTGAGGGGGCCGTGTTCAGTGTTCACCTGAAATGCTTACTTCTGGACCAAGCGAAACTCCAGGTGAAGCAGTACTGTCGTCTGCCGGGAGGGACGGTGGGGGTGACGGCTCTGAGGTATGCAGGAAAGAAGAAGCCTCCCATGCGATCCGTCGGGCAACATGCAGGCGACCTGCTGACCACCTGGAACATCCGCTGTGGAAGCCCTGTAGAAGCAGCCGTATCCCACAGGTGCTCAGAGCCAGGGTGGCTGGTGCACACGTAGGATCCCAGCCCTCAGAGGCCCTGAGGCAGGGGACTGCAAGTCTGAGCCCTGCCTGGGCCACTCAGTAACTTAGTGAGACCCTGTCACAAAATAAAGGGGCTGGCGATACAGCTCAGTATGAAGGCCCTGGGTTCATGCCCCAGACCAAAAAAACAAAACCCTAATGAGTGTTTTCATGCAGAGTTAGGGTCTGTGGCGTCGCGCACACGCCCGCCGGAGGCGCTGTGTCCCTTGCTTCATTTTCATGTTGTGCCCAGAAGGGGCCACTCTGACCCCAGGAATGCTGGGCACAGCTTTTCCTGAGACTTCACTGAACTTCCATTCCCTCAGCTGCGCTCAAGGCTAGGGACAGGCGTGGAGCCAGCGCAGCGCCAATTCAGGGAAGCGCAGGCTGGGCACGCTGGCACTGGGCTTCCGTTGCTGTCACCAAGAAGGATGAAGGGCCCTTCTCCTCACAGCCTGCCACAGTCCACCTTCCCTTTGCACAGTCCACTTTCCCTTTGGTCCTCTTGGAGTCCACTAAGATACGACGCCCATTTCCAACCAAATGCACATACTGTATGATTGTAAATGAAATTTCAATACACTAATTTATTATAATATTAAAATCTGTTGTTTGTAAAATCCATGGTCTTAAACATTGAAGGTACAGGGTAAACTTAAATATTTATGATTGCTAGAATTACGTTTTAGTTTGAAGATTATCCTCCCACTTGGCTGCAAGGAACATAATGAGCTTTTTATTATAGGTACCTTCATACGAAAGCCATGTGTCCAGAGACCCGGATGTGCTGGGAATGGCCTTGGCCTCGGGGCACGGGCTGAGTATCCTGGAGATTAGGCTCAAAGGGACCACGATCCGGGGCTGAGGCAAAGAAGTAGAGTTTCACAGGTTTCTGTAGAGATTGATTTTCCCTCCCTTCCTTGAAATCCATGAGTTTCCCAAAAGTTCTTAAGTATGGCCATGTTTTTGTTTTAAGATTGTAGCCCTTTGTTTTTGAAGTTGAAGCCTGTAAATTTAGGCTTTATTAGTTGACCAGGCATGTAGAAATATTGACAGCCAAAGACGGATCTTAGGAGGGAAGCATCTCTGTTGTTGTACGCCAGCGACTTCAGCATTCTGTTAAGGGTGTTCTTCCCAGTCAGTGTCTCCGCGGTCCTCCACACGGGCCGGCCTCCTGCTGCCCAGAGAGGCCAGGCACCACCCGCAGCATCTCCCCAGGGGGAGACAAGCACTCAGTCCCTAGGACTTCTGGGACCCATTCACAGGTGTCCAGCTGGTGCGAGCACAGGGACACTGGGAGAGCTCTGTCCTGTGAGGAGCAGTTTGTGTACTGTTTATGCACCAGAGTCTCGGGGAATGATGTGTGTCTAGCCGGAGTACTGCTTGTCCTTCAGGTTCTCCTGAGCAGTTCAGGAATGCTCCCTGCAGCATCAGATGGGGCCACAAGGGCTTGTTCTTTTTATATGTAAAATATCTTCTTTAAGCTTAAAGTAGGGCTTGCCTGGCTCTTGAGGCCTGGCTCTGCCCACAGCCCAGGCACGCGAGCTCTCATATCCACTTCCACAGGGACAAGTGGAGAACAGGCAGGCAAGTGGAGAACAGGCAGAACACTGTGAGGCCTCAGCCCAAGCTGGGGGCCTGGGCAGGGAAGAGGGCAGGAGCCATGCTGCAGTGCCCAGTTCTAAGCCTTGGCTTTTGTGGGCACCCAGAGGGACAGACGACAGGGCAGAGGAGGGAGGGCCCTGGGGTGGCCCTAGGGGCCTGCAGTGACCCCGGGTGTGTGGTCCGGGCACAGCTGGACTGGAGTCAGAAGGCTGCTGTGGGTGTCCAGCACTGCCTCCCCCAAGCCACCTGTGGGGGGTGTGTGCATTTCCAGGAGTAGCTGCTGCCGCATGGGTGGGCAGGGCGCTTGGGGCACTGCCTATCCCCCCTCTCCTGTGGACCCTGATGCATTCGGAAGCCTACCAGGCAGAGCCACTGCCTGGGCTGGGGAAACGGGCATTTGGACAGCAGCATTCAGATAACAAAAGCTGGCTTGGGGTACATAGCAAGCTTACCAGAGGGAGATGCGCTGTACCCCACTCACCGCAAGTCTGACGTCGCCCTGCAGCCTTTCAGAAGCCTCTACAATGGTTCCTCAGCTCTGCCTCAAAGCTGAGACCCAGCTCCTCCTGAACAGGGTGAGAGCTGAAACCTTTACTCAGTCCTAATTTTTTGTCCTGAACAACTTGCCAGTGCTATAATATTTGTCAGAAATAAAATCTCTAAATTTGCAATTGTTCTTTAATCAATGTGTATGTTTAGAAGCCATGATTGTTTCCTGAAAGGAGTTTAATTTGTGGTCCTGGGGCACTTGCAAAACTTCACTTCCAGTTTGCTAAAGCACAGCTTAATGCTAGCAACAAGTGTGGGCTTTTAATGACCATCGCATAGCATCAGATGTGTTCGGAATTGGAAGTCTGCAGTGCCGGCCGGGAGAGCAGTTCTGAGATAACATCACAGTAAGTTTTTTTCTAATTAAGCAGATACACAAATATGTATTTTGAAACAGATTTTCTTTAGTTCTTTTGCCCAAAAAGATCATCTACTGGGGATCAAACTCGGGACCTTGCACTTGCTAGGCAGGCGCTTATGCTGCTGAGCTATCTTCCTGGCCCCTAAAAAAAAAAAAACAAACCCTCTAACCTCACCATTTTGTGGACAGCTCTCTGAAAAGAAGAGTAGTCAAAGTGACTCTGTTCCCCTGATTCAATACATTGTACAAATGCTGCTGTTCAAAAGTCAAATGTTATTTTGAAGAGTTTAAGACAGCTTTTGCTGGTCCTTACATAGAGAAGATAATTACGGATGTTAAGGAACAAGCATTAATCACCACTAATAACTTATGCAACATGAAGGTGAACTGCAGGAATCTGATGTACCTGAAGACTGATATTGTCAGTACTGATTTAAACTAAACCACACCTTGATAAACAAAACTCCTTCTTCCAAGCACACACTGAGAGAAAAAGTTCAGTGGTTGCAATTGATAACACAGATGAGGCAGTAGCCTTTCTTTGCAGTTACCAAAACATCTGTCCATCAGTTCCCTGCCCAAGGGCCACCTGTTCATGCTGAGATGCCCAAAGAATGCCTCAAACCTTCAGTGGTACTGAACCGAGTGCATCCTGCATTTTTTGCCTAAACTTACATAAATTTAATGTTTTGCAACCTAACTAAGCAGTTACTATCCTGCATGAAAGTCACAACTTTTTCAGTTTGACATGTGACAAAATTAACCCAAATCTCTTTTTGCTTTTTCACAACCTCATGGATAGAGAGTGTACCTGCCCTAGATCTTAGCAACCTTGGGATATGAGTTTTGTTTACAGTCAAGAACCTTTTCACTGAAAGGACCCACTGCAGCTCCTTGGTGTGCCTGTTCTGCCAGCATCACTGCCCTTGTGCTGTGACAGCACTGCCAAGTAAAGAACTGAGTGCAACTCCTATGATACTGTGGCAGGCCACCCAGTGATGTGGACGGCTCCTGTGGACCAGGGGAGGTATCTCGTGCAGTGTGGGCACATTGGACAGAGTGTAGGACAGCAGGAGAGTAACGCGTGGAATGAAACGCCTGTCAGAATGATGTGATTTCAAACTTAAGAGCTGTGGGATTTTCCATCTCATGCTTGGAACTAGGCTGGTCAGAGTAACAAACTGTGTGTTGAAACTTCCAGTCTTGGGAAGGGGCTCACGTACTCCATGTTGCACAGACTCCAGCTTTTGTCCAAACAGATGTTTCTGGTGTCACAGCTCACCTACATAAGCTTGTTCCATGAGTGCTTAATGAAAATGAAACTTACTGAAGTACCCAAAGTGAAGCTGGAGCCACCAGCGTGCTCTGTTGCTGACCTGAGACCTGACCCTTCAAGTCTGCGTGCGTGAGACTGGGTGCGCATTCAGCCTGAGTAACTAACTGTTCCTGTGGCTGAGGAGGTTCAGGCCTGGACGTCAGAGTCCACTTGTGCGCAGTGCCGGTCTGGGACGTCACTGACAAGGCAAGTGTTTTCTTGGGGTCACTTTGTGCTGCCTGTTTGGAGGAACATGTCAGCAGGTATCAAGTGGTAATGGTGCAAAAGAATGTTCTGGCTACAGGCAGACTTGACAGATGCCGTAAAGGAAGCAGCACACACAGCAGCAGCAGGTGCAGCTCATGTCTAGCAACCAGTGCCCCAAACTGTGTCAGTGAAAATGTGAAACTGGGGTTCAGCATAGGTTTGCATGACCTTTTAAGATCATTTGGGAAAACAGTGATTACCATTGCTTGTTTTGTCTGAGCTGACTTGGAAGAAAATATTTGATATTTCAGAGCATACATTATCTCTGAACCCTTTACAAGGGACTATTATATACAGAAAATTAATGAGTCAATTAAAATGCTTATTCCTCTAGTTAGGTTCACTCATTACAGAGTGATGTCGTTAGATTCCTTTAAGGTGTACGTCTTGGAAACAAAGAGTACTTGAATGTATCAATACTTTTTAAGTCCTTATCTCATGAATTCCAGCCACCACAGCCCCATTCATACAAATGAAAGTGGTTTGACTCATCAATGAAAAATCAGAATTTCTAGGGTTATTTCATATATCATCTCTATAAGGGATTAAGTGTACACATGTGATTTAATACTTTTGTAAAAATTTCCAGAGAAGCAAGGAAAATTTCCTTTGGCAGTGCACATACCCAAGCATTGTTTAGTGGGCAGAGTTAACCATAGTTGGATAGAAGTGGCTTCACTTACATTAGACTTAGTAATCATACTTACGACTCAAGGGGAATGAATGCAATAAAATAGGAGAAAAAAGCATAATATTTAACTCAAAGTATTTTGTCACAGATGTAAAAAGTCAAAAAAGTGACCATCATAGTTTGTCCCCACCCTATAATAGGACGACAACAGCCTTACATAGGACCTTGGGGACAGACTGGAAGTCGGAAGTTGTGAAGTAGGTTCTGAGCCATTCAGAGTGACCGCATGCTGTGAACGCTGGGAACACTGTTATCCACTTGCTGATTGTTGATGACTCTGAAAAACTCATTCTCTGGCCATATGAGAAAGAGAACCAACCTCCAACTTTATGACTGTACCTATAAAATTTTACTTGAAACATTATAGGAAGTTAGAAAAAGTGAGATCAAAATCTAATGAACCAGCGTACCATTACAGAAATGTTCAAAAACTACCCATCTGGGCATTTGCCCTGCATCCCCAAGGTGGCCAGCCATCTGAGGGTGTCAGCTAGGTGTGGAGTGGGGGGCACGAGAAAGTCTGGGTGTCGTGGTTAGGATCTAATGTGTTCCCTGGAAATCTTGTGTTCAGATGAGGCCTTTGCAGAAGTTGACTGGGTCGTGGGGCTCAGCAGCTGAGTTTGCAGCACAGCATGCTGTCTTTGGGGCCAGGACAGAGGTGGGTCTCCGGGTGGCTCCTGCATGCCACTTCCTGGCTGCTGTGGACCGAGCTGCTGCCCTCCGGGCCCTTCCACCAGGCCCTTTCTGCCTTTCAGTTGGACAGCCATGGACTAAACCCTCAGAATTACTGCATAAGCCTAACCAACCTCTCTTCCTTTAAATTAGGGGTGCCATGTGTTTTGTCCCAGTGATGAGAAGCTAATACAGAATGTGTTGCCAGAGCTAAGATTAATGTCACATAGTCAAGTGGTTCCCACTGTCTTTATTTATTTATTTTTTTCTTTTTTGGAACCGGGGATTGAACTCAGGCCCTTGCGCTTGCCAGGGAAGTGCTTATTCCACTGAGCCATCTCCTCCCCAGCCCCTTATTTTATTTTTGTGTATTGGGTACATGGACTCACTGTGCCGCTCAGACTCGTACTGATCCTCCTGTTTTCAGCCTCCCCAGCGCTGGGATTACAGGTGTGCACATCCGGGGGGCAAGGCTAGCAAGGCATGCGGGACTGGTGATCAAACCCTGATCCCTGTGTTTGCCAACACAGGCGCTTAGTCTGCTAAGCTATCTCGCCTGCCCTCCCACTATCTTTAAAAGGAAGGCAGAGAGGTTCCAGTTAAAAAGGATAGTTCTATGCAAGTGAGGAGATCAGAACAAAATGCAGGTCCCCAGTGTGCTGCTGGGCTATGTGCACGCATGTCCGGGTAGCAAGGGAGTCGGAGCCCAGCCCTCCCTCCACAGGGTCTCCCACAGCCATGTGTCACAGATATACCAAGCGGTTGGTTTTGTCCCTAAAACCAAGCAGTATACCAATGATAGACAGCATTTACATTGTTTCAGGCTTTATAAGCCACATAGAGATAATTTAATGTATATAGGAAGACGCGTGTATGTTATACAGAAACACAACTTTTACATGATGGACTTAAAAATCCACAGAGCTTGGTTCCCTCAGAGGGTGTCCGAGCCTATGATCGAATGCTCAGGCATCAGCAGAGAATTCTAACAGCCACAAATTCTGGACAAATAATATTTTTAATTGCTCTTTCAAGAATCAAGACGAGCATGACCTTCTGTCTCGCAGTAGTGTGTCTGAGCTCGTAACTGATTAGGAAAGCCAATTTTAACATAAACGTGACTTGGAGGGAAGGCCACAGATGCAGACTGTGCCGGTGACGCCTTCTCCACACTTTGCTGAATGAACGCCCCATTTCCCAGCAAACCACAACACCCCTCATTACCATCCTGCAGCAAAGATTTGCAAAAACAAAGCCATTTCACCCCTCATTTTGGGGGCCTACACACAAGCGTGCAGTGAGAGCTGATCTGGGTGCCGATCCGTAGACGTTTGCTGACTGGCGAGATTGCTGCCAACAGCCAGCCCCTTGGCATGAAGCGATAAACTCTGACTTCCATTTTCAAATCAAGTATGTTTCAACAGCCGCAGAAGACCGACCAGAATCCTACAGGCATGCTGGGACTTTCTTGGATCAGGTGTTTCTGGAACCAAATGAGTCAGCCAGAAGGGATCTGGGTTCCTTCCAGACTTTCAAGTTGTTATGGCATTTAAAGGGATTTGTGTTCTTTTTCAGATTGTCACTGTCTTTTTTTGCATAGTAGTAAGAATTTAATAATTACTAAAAGAAGCATACAGAAAAGCTAAAGTCAAGTTCATTTTTATTGTCTTTGCCATCCAACATATAAGAAAAAATTTAAATTGATAATAATTTAAATAAAATTCTTTCAGTGCTCCTTTAAAAAGGGCTACAAAAATTCTCATGTCTTCTTTGTTTCCAGAAAGTTAAGCTTGACATAATATTTATTTATTTTTTAAAAAACAGGAAATTTGATTTTAAGTTTATTTTTAGTTTCCACTTCCTTTTTCAATTTCATAGTTCATAACTCTCCTGAAAACTCACTCTTGGCATTCGCAAAACTACACATCACATCTCTTGATCAATTGTATTTCTGTAATATCATTCTAGATCAGCTTTAACTTCTTTTCAGCAAAAGGAATATATATTTTCATGTAAATATTTTTATTTAAAAGGGAGATCCTTAGCACAGAGTCCCAAGCTTGTAGTGCTCTGATTTTGTGCTCCCCTGGTTTCTGCTGATCAGCTTGGGAAACTGAATTTGAACCTTCTCCTGGTCACTGGCAATATCTCAAGACTTCAGAGTTGAAGAACAAGGTTCACCTCTTTGTGCTGACCAATGCCAGCAGAGCTGACGGCCACCGCCAAGGACTGTGGACTCTCCCTCCACTGGCACGTTCATGCCCACCACCCCGGAACCCTGTGAGCACCTCCATTCTTTGCTGCGTGTGAGAAAGGCTTCCAGTGGGAAGTGAAGGAGCTATGCCAAGGTCCCCACTAGCACCTAAGCCCACAGGTTTAGGAGTCCTGGTTCTGACAAGTTTTAGACAGGGATTATTCAGAAAGAAAAGACAGGTCAATAAAATCTAGTTTAGGAGCCAGAGATTTCAATATTAATCTTTAATGATTATGTGCCATTTCTTTCTGCAGTGTTCTAAAAAGTACTCCCACAAGTAGAATCCAATTTGGTATGAAGAATCTGAGTCACTACATTATTGAAAGTGAGGAGGTAACAAATTACAGACGTGAAAAAAAAAAAATAGGACTCCCACATTCTCCAAAGTGATTCCTGATCAAAAGTCAAAACCTGAAATCTGGCCAATGTGTCACACACTGGAATACAGTCTATGTAGAGTTTTATCCTCATCAGCTCATCAGCTTGAAGGTGCTTACTTGCAAAAGTTCCAGAATGTTCTACAGAAAGTTCTGCTAGAGCAGGTGGGCATAGCTGGGCATGAAAGGAGTCACCCTCACCATCTTCCCTATATTGCAAGAGTTACACTCACCAACTCTAGTTGGCAGGTGCGGCCCGACTCCCCAGGAGGGGCCACAAGAGAAAGTCTCAGGACCATGGCTTCACTAAAGCTGCCACCAAGTCTGCCCAACCCTACAAGCTGATCTGAGCTTGGCAGCCTTTCTCTTTCCATCACCAAAAAAGAAGGGGATGTGGAATTTCTATGTCACCCAAACCCATGGTAGACAAGAGGAACAAATTAAGAACTAATTCAGCAGGAGTACAGGGACTTTAGCTTAGCCCCTTGCCTAGAGCTGCCACTCCGCCAGCTGCTCAGCCTGCTTGTGCCCCAGCCACATCCTGAGTTGTCCCTGTTTGGCCTCTGTTCTTCCTTCACCAACTGGACCACCGGCCTGGGGCAGGGAAAGAGAACTCAGAAGTACAGCATTCACCTGAAGCTCATCCCTGGGAAACAGGAACATGTTCTCGGCCCCCTAGTGCTGTACACTTAACAACTGACCCGCTACCATATACATGTTTTTTTTTTCATAAATAAAATCTGAGGCATATATGTAATATATTAACATTTTCACTAATAAGTATATGTTAAAAATTTCAAGTTCTGTCATTCAAGTTCAATAAAAGGCACACATATTTTTTTTCTTTAGGCCTGAATACAGTTGCTAGCCACAAGTCACAGAGACACTCTATGGGATGTTTTTCCTCTGATTTTTCCTCTTTTTGGGATAAACATTCATACCATGAGTCAGTGGCTTGACTCTGTCATCCAAAACACTTTGACAGAGGTCTTTAAACGGACTCCAGGGCTGCTTTGGTGTGCTGGATGACAGACCAGTCTGGCTGGGTCGGTCCCCAGGTGTGCTTTGGCCGCTCTCTTTAAGGCTTCTCGCTCCCCCCAAATCGGGCTTTCTGGTTCCCAGGCTCCGAGGCCCTCCGGGCCAGCCTGGGTGGTGGCCTGGGTGCAGTGTCTTCAGTCAAACTGTTGTCCCTGTCCCGGCGCAGCCGCTCTTTGGATAAAAGGGGCTGCCGGAGGACGCCTGGTGTCTGAGTGCCCCCGTCCTTGCTGCTGGGGGCTGGGGGGCTGCCGGGCTGCGCTCGGCCAGAATCTACATTCACCTCATTCTTCCACTCCATCGTGTAGGTCGGGGGCGGCCTCTTAGAGAATGGCTCCGGCAGAAAGCGCCTGGCTCGGGGCTGCAGGTTGAGCACAGTGGTCCCTGCGTCCGGGTCTGAGTCGCTGCTGCTGCCCTCTGTCACGGAGCAGAAGGACAGTGTGGGTGAGTGGCTCAGAGTGGGCACCAAAGGCCTTACTGCCTTAATGGGCCCAGGCTCTGGGGACAGCCAGGGTCACCGGCTCCACTCCAACTCCAGCTGAGGGACCTGGGGGCTCTTGTGTCACCTCTGAGAGCATTCATGTCCCCAGGGCCGATGTAGGACAGTGTACTGTGTGCTCGATGCCACCTGAGGGCCTTGAAATGTCTTTGCTTTTTTAATGCTGGCCATCACCCATCTTACAGACGGGTGATGGGGTCAGGCATGTCAGCAGGGGTAGTGCTGGGATTCAGACTGGCCCACAGTGAGCCCTGCCACTCCCCTCTGTCTGGAGCCTCAGCTGTGACTTGCAGATTGCCTCTGTGTCCCCACACGGGACCAGAACCTCAGCACGCACTTTGCAAACAAAGGAGAGGCCCCTGGGAGGGGCCTGAGCTGCTGGCCGGAGGAAAGGGCCTTCGCCCTGGACCTTCGGGGCTCGGGAACTGAGGACATGCTTTCAGGGCAGGACTATAAATTCTAGCACTGCCCTTCCTCGCTCCCCTCCCTCTCCTGTTCACGTCACCGTCCTTTGTCAGCAGCCCTCAGCTTCCCCTTCTGGGCTAATTCAACAAACAAGCAGGGGAAGACAGCCACGGGCGGGACAGTACGCTTCCATCCCCTGCGCTAACAACAGAGTGCTATGGGCGTTCCTCTGGGATTCCCAGTACAGAGCCTAGGTTCTGCACAAAAATGACCGTCGGACAAAGAGATCAGGAAACATGGCTTAAATAGTTTTATAGTGAAGAGTAAAAGTTATGATTGACTCTATGAAAATACATTAACTTCATTCGGTTGTTTAACTCTAAATATTTACATTTTCTGACTTACAACACTCTGTTTGCCTGGTCAAATACCCCATGGCAACAGTATTTGCTTTTGCTGTATCAAATAATTATTATGGAAAGAAAATAAGTGACTGGATTATTATAATTTGCAAAGAACATCCTCCAAAAGGTCATGATGCTAATGGAAGATCACCGCATTATTATTTTAATTGTGAGCTACTGAGCTCTGCCTTGATGAAGGAAAGTAGTGGGAAAATTTCTCCAGTTGAGATGCATCTAAAGTTTTTCTGCTCTTAAGTGTATTCATTACCTGCATTAGAAATGTTCCTTTTCTTCTGTAGCTTTTCTGGAAGCTTTGTATTTTTAGGTAAGGATAAATATCTGGAAGTTGACGTAGAAGCCTATTAAAAAAATAAACAACCTGACTTAGGTTATATAAATGGCATATATTATATATGAGAAGCTGAAATTTCATAATACTTGGCCTTAAGACAGGATCTTAGCTCATCATTCCCAAACCACTTTGCGAAGTGTTGTCATGACTACATGTAAAATAACTAATCTCTGCTAAACCTGGTAGAGATCCATATTACAGAAGAAAATAAACAGGACCGCGCCACAGCTTGCGCCTGGATGTGGCCCCAAAGCTCCCGGGCTCCTAAGTAGGGCTGTGCATGTGCTTGGACCCGGGCTGCGAGATGCTGGGAGTGAAGGTCTGTGCTGTCCAAGTGGGTTCAGCCCAGCTCTGGGTGTGGACAACAGGAGCCCAGCCTGGGTGTGGGTGGCGCCAGTCAGCAGGCCAGCAACCTGGACGGGCTCTAAGGAACAGGAGGGAGGGTGCTTGCTGCTTCCTGGAGCCAAGCGACCATGGACTGAAGCTTCTATAAACTGCGAGCCAAAGTAACCTTTCCTCCTTTAACTTGTGAGTACCCGGCACTCCACCCCGGAACACGAGAGCCAGCCAGCCAGCCCTTCAGGAGCAGGTATGGAGCCCACCGGGTCTTCCTTAAGGAAAAGCTACGGAAACGCCTATTTACAAAATAAGTTCTAGAAAGACAGAACAGACACGTATGAGAGCGGACGTAGCAGGAATGTAGCATACTTAGGTCTCAGGCACTTTAAGAAATCTTGAAAATGGCTGAACAACAGAAACTGCACTAGGGGCGTTCTGAACCCTACAGTCTCTGCAGTCTTAGTTTCTAGGGTTAACTTTTGACAGTGCTACATTTACCTGCGAAGAAAAGTAATTGTTCATGTGCAGTTGCCTTGACCTCTGTACCCCGTGAGTACTGTCACACCCAAGGTGCCAAGGCTTCCGCGTAGCAGGAAATCATGGCACTGTTTTTAAGTCGTTCTCCATACCTCCTGACAAGGCCCCGGACCCGCTGATTTCCTTACCAACCCTCAGCTCGCAGGCATGCTAGGCTTCCTGCAGGGCCCCAGAGGACACACAGACACCCTGCTGCCACCCTGCCCTGGGCGGAGAGGAGTCATGAGCCATACTCGAGCCTGTTGGTCGAAGGCCAGCAGCGTGTGTAACGGGTCCCACCCTGTAGCCACGTTACATCACGTCAGTATGCTGTGCTATGTTCTCAGGCAAAGTCACCCTGTAACACACTCCTCAAAGCATATCCGATGACATCCAGCACATGTCAGCACCACTTTCCGGTGGTGAAAGCCGGGCTCACACCCGACTGGAATCATAATTCCCTTGGCTCTTTCCTGCACTACCAACCAGCGCCTTTCTTCTTTGCTCTGTGTGCCAACAGCACTTACTACCTTGATCACAAAAACTGAGACTCTACTCCTGGAAGGTTTCTCCCCCACTGGAGTAGGAATCCCTCGGTGTAGGAAGCGTCTACAGGGCTATTCACCGGTGTGTTCCACGCGCCTATGAGAGGACGCTGGCTGGAGCACAACAGGCACTCAAGGAACTCTAGAAAAGGCCTTATTCTTCTTCCCCTTGCACTGAGCAAGGGGTCCCCCTCTGCTACCCAGGCAGGCCTTGAACTCCTGGGCTCAAGCGATCCTCCTGGCAGCTGGAGTGACTGCCAGTGCTGGTGGTGATAATGGCCCTGGGTTCCTCTCAGACTTCCCAGGCGTCAGCCCTCAGCAGCCACCCGGGCAGCAGAGGCAAAAAGAGAGCCCACAGGTAAGGAGCAGCGGCGGCAAGCCCATACCCTGCGCTCACGGTTCAAGCTGCTGTCTTTCCTGATGCTCTCCCGCAAGCTGTGCCGCCGGCGGATCAGGATCTCCTTCGCTTGCCTCTCGCTCGTGTCAGCCGTCAGGTTGTGCCTGTTGTAGGACAAGGTCTGAAATAAAGACACACAGGGGACACTTCACCAAGAGCCTGACCACTTACTTCCCTGGAAGCCCAAACCCCACCATGTTCCTCTGAATCCCCCCTCAGCCAGGTGCCTTCAAATTCCATACACAGCGAAAGACAAGATGAAGTTAAAGTGAAGAATGCAACGGCCAGAGCTGCCAACTTTTGAAAGAATTCGCATTTGCATAAAAGTGAGTATGTTCCTCTCTTGAAAAGTGCAATCATTATGAATTTACAACAACTGAATTCACCAAGTGCCACCGTGCCTGTATTTAGCCAGCATCGACAGCTAGAAAACCATACACCACCTTTCCAGTTCTCTGTTCTCCTTTGAACAAGAATTACTGACATAAAACAATCACCAGGAGCCACTTGGGGGTGCCATGTCCCTTAGATTGGCTACAGTGCCTGTCCTTGTTCCAGCGGGGATGTCACACTGAGAAGTCGCAGCCACCCACAGCGACAGCCACGTCCCGGCGTGGGAGGAGGTTTCTGAGCCGGGCTGCACCTGGCCTCCGTGTTTACCTAATGAGCTGCACAGAGCTGCATTTCTTTTCCAAAGCCACGATTACCAAGCAACTGCATTTATGCTGGAGCTGGCATGCGCCTTGTGGGAACGTCTCTGTGACCCGGCAGAGTGACGCAGAAGAAGGCCTGACTCCTGTGTGGCAGGGTGTGCTAGCTAAGGAGGCATCAAAGGCTCACACTGGCAAAGTGAGCATAAGTGGGAAGTGAAGGGCCCCTGTGAAAGCTCATTGAAGCATGGGGCTGGGGTGACAGGCAAACTGCTAAGGACAACTGAAAAAGTGGACACCATGATGTAGCAGTTGACAAAGCTGACCTGAAAAGTGGTGGCAGGGTCCATGGAGAGAGAGGGGGGACAGAAAGAGAGACAGAGACAGATAGAGACACTGACAGAGACAGAGACGGAGAGACAGAGACAGAGGCAGAGAGACAGAGAGACAGAGACAGGCAGAGAGAGACAGAAATAGAGACATACAGAGAGACAGAGACAGACAGAGACAGAGAGAGACGGAGAGACAGAGGCAGAGAGACAGAGACAGGCAGAGACAGAGGCAGAGAGACAGAAATAGAGACAAACAGAGAGACAGAAATGGAGACATACAGAGACAGAAAGAGAGACAGAGATAGACAGAGACACTGACAGAGACAGAGAGAGATGGAGAGACAGAGACAGAGGCAGAGAGACAGAGAGACAGAGATAGACAGAGACACTGACAGAGACAGAGAGAGACGGAGAGACAGAGGCAGAGGCAGAGAGACAGAGACAGGCAGAGACAGAGGCAGAGAGACAGAAATAGAGACAGAGAGACAGAAAGAGAGACAGAGATAGACAGAGACACTGACAGAGACAGAGAGAGACGGAGAGACAGAGACAGAGGCAGAGAGACAGAGACAGGCAGAGACAGAGGCAGAGAGACAGAAATAGAGACAGATAGACAGAGACACTGACAGAGAC